CTTCTTATTTGCAACATAGTATATAGTTGCTTAGACTTGCAGATGAGAGGCTGGCAAGTGAGGCGGGGAACGTTGGAGTCTGCAGCAAGCAAGCCTCCCTGCTCGCTTCAGTGCCTGGCTGCCTGCCGCCATCTTGGCTGACAGTTAATTTGCATATACTCACTGATTAGCCAATGAAAAGGGTAGCGGTCGTACGCCAATTACCATGTTTCTCTTTTATTAGTGTAGATGTCCTTCTCTGTCTGACTTATTTCATTTTGTGTAATATCCTCTATGTTTATCCATGTTGTGCTTCTATACATTGTCTATTATAAGCCATGCTCCAATGAACATAAGGTTGCATATATCTTTTTTGAATTAGTATCTTCTTTTTCTTCATATAAATGTCCAGAAGTGGAATTTCTGGGTTGTATGTTAGTTTTTTTAAATTTTTTGAGGAAACTGATAAAGTGTTTTTCAAAGTGGATGTACCAATTTATAATTTCACCAACCATGCATGATGGTTCTTATTTCTCTACATCCTCGCCAAAACTTGATATTGTTGACATTTAAATAAAAGTCATTTTGACAGGTGTGAGGTTATATTTCATTTTGGTTTTGCTTTGCATTTCCCTAATAATTAGTAATGTTAACATCTTTTAATGTCTCTGTGGGCCAGCTGTACTTCTTCTTGGAAAAAATGTCTATTCAGATCCTCTGCCCATTTGTTATTTAGAATGTTTTTTTTGTTGTTGTTGAGTTTTATGAAATCTTTATGTATTTTGAAAATTAACTCCTTGTCAGAACTATCATTTGCAAGTATCTTCCCCCATTTGGTTGATTGCCTTTTCATTTTTATTTTTTAATCATCATCCAAGGATATTTTTTCCATTGATTTTTAGAGAGAGTGGAAGGGAGGGGGAGAGACACAGAGAGAGAAACATTGATGTGAGAGAGACACATAGATTGGTTGCCTCCTGAAAGTGTCCTGACCAGAGCCAGGTATAGAGTCTGCAACCAAGTTACATTGCCCTTGACCTGCATTAAACCCATGACCCTTCAGTCCATGGGCTGACCCTCCAACCACTGAGCTAACCAGCCAGGCCTCATTTTCTTGATGCTTTCCTTTTCTGTGCAGAACCTTTTTAGTTTAATGTAGTCTTGTTTTTTTTTAATTTTGCTTTTGTTTTCCTTACCATTGTGGTCAAATACATAAAAACTGCATTAAGAGTGATGTTCCAGAGCTTAGTTCCTATGTTTTTTTCAATGTACTTTATGGTTTCTGTTCTTACTTTCAAGTTTTTAATATATTTTGTGTTATATTTTGTCTATGGTATAAGATAGGTGACTTGTTTCATTTTTTTGCATGTGACTGTTCAGTTTATTGCAGAGGCTTTACTTTCTCCATTGTATGTTCTTGGCTCCTTTGTCATTTATTAGTTGTCTTTGGTGTTTTCACATGAATTTTGGGATCTCATGACTTATTTCTGTAAAAATTGGCATTGGGATTTAGATAGGGATTGTGAGAGCTCCAGTGGCTCAATTGGTTAGCGTGTGGTACTTATACAACAGTGCACAGATAAGGATTGTGTTGAATCTGTAGAGTGGTTTGGATAATATTAACATTTAACAACATTGTTTCTTCTTCAATTCTCATTCAACAATGTCTTGCAATTTTCAGTGTACAGTTCTTGCACCTCCTTGCTTAAATTTATTTCTAGGTGTTTATTATTGTTGTTACAATTATAAATGGGGTTATT